GCAGTCCCTTTCAGGAATTCTGACCTTGTAGGGCTTATCAAAGGATAATTTCGGTAGCATGATATCTGTGAGCTTGATAGCGGGATCATCCAGAAAAGGCTTGAGAACCTCCAAGTGACCCCAAAGATCTCCACTCTTCATGCTGATTACATTGGGCAGCCGTATGGAGCTCCAGCAGGCCTCCTTTTCTATCAGAATAGATAGAGGAGGAATGCCTGTAATTATACCGAGGGCATCCGTTGGACAGGTGTGCATAGCTCCTGTGATGGCCACACAGATCAAGCGGTGTAGCTTGCTCAAGGTGGCACACGCACTTGCTTTCTTTGCTTTTGGCCACCAGGCCAGTGCCGCATATGTGACAACAGGTTTCACGACCGTATTGAAAGACCAACACATTAGTTTGGGTGATATTCCTCATGGAGTCTCTGGCAGGCATAAAACGCCCTTGTAGCCTTGTTGGTAATGTTAAGGAGATGTGAGTTCCAATTGAGCCTTTTGTCCAGAGTTACCCCTAAATACTTCGCCTCTTCTGAGAGCTCAATTTATGTCCCTGCCAAAGTGGGTTTAGTCAAGTTGACTTTCCTTCTATTGGTAAATGGGACAACGGTGGACTTCTGCGGGTTTATTGACAATCCCTTTGAAGCACACCAGTCTTCCGTTAGACTGAGCGCAGCTTGCAATCTGGAACAAATTGTGTCCTCATGCCAGCCGACAACGTAGATGACTAGGTCATCTGCATATCCATATGCCTTGAATCCATTGCCATTTAGCTTTTCAAGAAGTTCGTCAACAACCAGTGTCCAAAGTAGGGGCGATAAGACTCCCCCTTGGGGACAGCCACGGGTGGCATTTACTGCTTGCCTGTTGTCTCCTAGTTCCGCTATTATGGTTCTGGACCTCAACATGCTTATGATCCAATCCGTTAGAAGGACAGGAATATCCTTTCGTATCATAGCTGTCGATATTGCTTCATAAGACGTATTGTCGAAAGCACCTGATATGTCCAGGAATGCACACAAAGCTATCTGTTTATACCGCAATGCCTTTTCAATGACTTGAGTTAGGCTATGTATTGCAGTAATAGTAGATTTGCCTGCCTGGTATGCGTGCTGACTCTGACACAGAGGCTTATTCCTGAGAAAGTTATCCCTTAAGTGAAAGTCAATAAGTTTTTCTAGTGTCTTTACTAGAAAGGAACTGAGGCTAATTGGCCTATACGCCTTTGGAAGTTGTGCTGAGTTTTTCCCCACTTTGGGTATAAAGACCACGTTGACTTCACTCCATGTTGTTGGTATGTGAGCAAGTAAGAGACTTGCTCTCAGCAATCTGACTAGTGGCCCAGATATTAAGCCCGAGTTCTGCTGCAGCAGGCATGGGTAGATACCATCTGGACCAGGGGATTTATATGCACTAAAGGTTGAAATGGCCCACGATATCTTTTCCACACTGACGATTCTTCCTGCTAGGCCTCTAGTCCTCCTGTTTGCGCACACAGCGTTTGCCGTGTTTGTCGAAAGACATGTGCCTTGTGGAATACATCCCGGGAAGTGGGTTTCTAGCAGAAGCCTGCTGGTTTCTTCCGGGGTGCCAGTGTAGGTACCATCTGGTCTTTTCAAAGTGCATAGGACTTTCAGATGATCTAGTTTAAGGGCCTTCTGAAGGCGATGCACCTCTGGAAGAGAGGAAATACTTCCGCAGTGCTCACGCCACGTAGCCCTTTTAGACCTTCTGAGCTCACAGTTGTAAGCGGTTAGGGCTGACTTGTAGGCGGTCCATCCACCTGTTGACTTTGCCCTATTGAAAAGTTTCCTGGCTCTTTTCCTTAGTTTTCCGAGAGAATCGCTCCACCAAGGGACATCCCTTTGAGACTTCTTGGTTCTCAGTGGGCAGCTCTCTTCAAAACCTTGTTTAAGAACATCTTGGAACTTTCTCGCCTCGTCCTCAAGTTCATAGACGGATGAAATTGGTGCCGTAGAACCATTCACTTCCCGCTCTATGTGGAGGCGAAAGAGTTCCCAGTTTGTTTTTCTGGGATTTCTGTAAACATGGTTTGTTACTCTTTGGGCTTCTATATCGAATCGAATATGCCGGTGGTCCGACATAGATACCTCATTTGAGACATGCCAGTTTGAGATAAAGGTCGACAAGCTAGTTGAGGAAATTGTCGAGTCTAGAACCTCCCCTCTCATAGCATTGACAAAGGTCGGCTCATTACCCCGGTTAAGAATAAATAAATTGTTCTTAGTGATAAATTCAAGAAATGACTCACCTCTAGAATTGGTGTCCGAGCTACCCCAAACACAGTGATGGGCATTGGCGTCACAGCTCATTACTAGTTTCAGCTTTCTCCTTCTGCAGTACTCCTCTAGGGCTATTACTTCCCTTGTGGGCATCTCACAGCTGTCGCCTGGGAGGTAAGCTGAAGCGAGAACGACCTCTTGTTCTCCCATTTGAGTGGGCACTTTAGTCCATACAGCAGCTAAGTCCTGTTGTGTCAACTAGGAAATGGGAACAAAAGTCATGTTATTACGTAGTAATATGGCCGCTCTGGGCCTGCAGTGTGTGGTATCGTAAATTATCTTACCATCACAGTCGTTTAGGCCTTTAATAGCCCCGGCGAAAACCCACGGTTCTTGGATGAATGCGACATCCAAGAGTTCTGTTTTGAACCTCCTGCATAAGACGTTAGAGGCCGCCTTTGCATGATGGAGGTTACCTTGCAGGCACTTGATGTGCCTAGGCCTATCGCTTGGGGGGTTTGCCATTTTTCGGCCTTGAAGCCCGCTTGGCCATCCTTTTCCCCCTATTGGTGGCCATAAGGGTCTTCTCCTCCATTAAAATCTCCCCTCGACCTTGTCTCCGATTCGCATTTAGCGGAGGACGGGAGGGATTTTGGGCGAAAGGGGCCTTTGATTTCTCTGGGCTGGAAGGTACCCTCTTTTCCGTGCCAGGAGTGTTTTCTGAGCAGCAGGGCCGCTCTATGGACTCCTGGACAGGTGCTTTTTCCTTCTCCGCTGCCCCTGACTGCTCTGAAGGTAACCTTTGCAGTCCCTTGGGTACGTCCTTGGAACCGCAAGGTCCCTCTTTGAAGCACGCACTTTGTGCAGTGGAGGAGGAACTGGCTATAGCAGGCTGTGTACCCTTCGGGTCTGACGACTCAGTCGTCTTCCCTTTTTTATGGATGCGCACCCTGCCATATCCATAATTGACTAGGTATCCCAGCCTGTCGAGTGTCTCCGCTGAGTGCGGGTCAATCGCTAGAGTGAGCTCAGTGGTGGGTCCCTTCTGTACCCTGTTGAGCACCCTCCAGCTACCTACCCGCAGCCCTTCGTTCTGACCCTCGACAAGGCCAAGGATACTGTCCACTGGAGTGGTTGATGGCTCCGGAAAGTACCCAACGTATACACTGGGTTTGGGCACGTCAGTGGCATTCATTGCCACAATTTCCGCGCCCTTCCAAGGCTTCAGGGTTTGGGATACCTTGCGCAGCCATTCCAGCGTTTCAGCGTCTCCGCAGCCAATGGACATCCATCCCGGACGGAAGGTGCAACCGCTAAACTTGGGCTTCACAGAGCCCTTTCGCTGCCGCCTCACCTCCTCCAGGATGGCCGTCTGAATGGCCTGTAGTTGGTCTAAGGACCAAAGCGCCTTAGGGTACCCTTTGGGGAGTAACCCTAACTTAACCCCATTACCAATGTCCGCCTGACAGGTCGGCGCCTTTGTGACATCGGCAAAAGTTGCCTTAACACTAGGTTCCTTTGGTCCCATATGGGCCCTTTTGTCAGCTGGACCTGGTTTCCGTTTGGGAGAGTTCTCCACCGGGGAAGATGTGAGGTTGACCGATCGGTTCCTCTTAAGCTTTGTGCCAGCCAGCAAAGCCAGTTGGCTTTTCCTTTTGCCATCGGAATAATGGCTAGCCGTTTGGCCTCGCTTTCGCTGACACCTCTGGAGAGGTAGAATTTGTAGCGCTTTTTACCTGCTCCAGAGAGTTTTCTTTTAGGAGTACTAGCTTCCTCCTGCTGTGACGATAAGAGCGCCTCCTCCTCGTCTGTGGGTATTTGGATGTCGTTGCCATTTGAACCAGAGTCCATTTTGGCAGTATCGACATCCATGGCCACCGGGTTGCTGAGAAGGCCGTTTGGATTAAAGTCCATTTCGTCCATTACAGCGTCCCGAGAGGGTTGAGCGCCTTGGCCGTTTGGATTTGCACCCAGTTCGTCCGCCGCAATCGCCATTTGTTCAGCAATCTCGTTGGGCATCGCGTGCACCTCTGAGACTGCTGACTGTTGCCCACTGTTAGAGGGCACAGAGCTTTTATTGTTTTTTTTATTAATTTGGTTTACTTCCATAGAATCCCACGAGTAAGGGGGAAGAGAGAGGTCATCCGAGGCAGAGCCCCGGTACCCCGGAAAGACTAAATAAAACCAGACGGCGCCACGTGACTGGAGTACACCGTAAAAAGACACACTAACGTAGTACCATTCAGTCCGCAGGCACGGTCCGATTAACACCTGGACTTACGGATTTTATCGAGTTGTTCTCTCTAGATCCGCCATATTCAGTAAAAAGCAGGGGCACCTCTCGCAGGGTGTGACTCTTCGCCACGTATGGTCGGTCTTGAGCCATCGACAGCCCCTGATCCAGAGCACTGCATCACGTGTGATAACAGCACCAAGAACCTTGACCCCCCAACATATTTACATAAATATACTCATGCAAAAAATCCAATACACTACTTTTCTGCTCTGCACAGATACTTTTTCGAATTCAAAGTAAACAAAATAAAGATCGAAATTGTATGGTATTATTTTGATGTTATGATTGCCGGAATTCTAATGAGACCATTTACAGCAGAATATGTAAATAAATAGGCTGTCTTCTTAAACGCATTAATGTAAAGCATCGTCTTCTTCTTCTTTTTTGTCGCTGTAACCGCCTAAGCGATTTTGGCCGAGTTCATCAAAGCACGCCAGTCGTTTCTCCTCTGTGCCAACTGACGCCAATTGGAAACGCCAAGTGAAGCCAAGTCCTTCTCCACCTAATCTTTCCATCGCATTAGGGGCCTCCCTCTTCCTCTGCTACCACCAGCGGGTTCCGAGATGAATACTTTCAGAGCTGGAGCGCCGGTGTCCATTCGAACGAAATGGCCAAACCAGCGGAGCCGCTGTATTTTAATTCGCTGAACTATCTCCATCTCGTTGTAAAGCTCATACAACTCATCGTTCCATCGTCTGCGGTACTCGCCGTCGCCAACG